TTCCCTGCAGGAGCTGTAACCCCAATCCCGCTGTTCCCTGCAGGAGCAGTCCCAAAACCCCAACCCTGCTGTTCCCTGCAGGAGCTGTAACCCCAATCCCGCTGTTCCCTGCAGGAACTGTAACCTCAATCCCGCTGTTCCCTGCAGGAGCTCTCCCAAAATCCCAACCCCGCTGTTCCCTGCAGGAGCTGTAACCCCAATCCCGCTGTTCCCTACAGGAGTTGTCCCAAAATCCCGACTCTGTCATTCCCTGCAGGAGCTGTAACCCCAATCCCGTTGTCCCTGCAGGAGCTGTCCCAGCTGCAGACCCTGGCCGGGAACACGGATATCGTGCTGTCCATGGACAACCGGCGGGATGTGGATCTGGATGGGATCCTGGAGGAGGTGCGCCGGGAATACGAGGGCATCGCCCGCCGCAGCTCGGCCGACGTGGACTCCATGTACCGGGGCAGGGTGAGTGGGCACCGAAAACCAGGACACGACGGATCCTCCCGCCGGGAAAGAACCCAAAACCATCCCAAACGTCTCTTTCCCCCTCCTCCCATCAGTACCAGGACCTGCAGAACACGTGGGAGAACCAACAGGAGCAGCTGAGGAACAGCCACCGGGAAATCCAGGAACTCGCCAGGCACATCCAGAGGCTCCAGCCGGAGATTGAAGTCGCCAGGAAAAGGGTGAGGCTGATGAATTCCAAACTGTCCAAGCGCCTTTTCCGGGCATCTCGGTGCAGCTGGGGGCAGCTGATCCTTTGGGGACAAACTGAGGGATGATTTCTCTTCAAAATGAAGCAGATTTAGAGTCTTGGGATCCACACTGGGGATTAATTTGGGTTAATTTACCCATTTTTGGAGTTCTGTCATTAAGGAAAGTCTTTGAATTTCCAAGGAATGCCGGGAGGGTTGGAAAATGGGATCTACACTGGGATTTAATTTAATTTACCTGGTCTAACATACTTCTGGAGTTCTGTATTGAGGAAAGTCTTTAATTTCCAAGGAATACCAGAAAGGGCTGGAAAAGGAGATCCACACTGAGGATTAATTTGGGTAATTTACCCATTTTTGGAGTTCTGTCATTAAGGAAAGTCCTTTAATTACCAAGGAATGCCAGAAAGGGTTGGAAAAGGGGATTTAAATTGGGACTTAATTTGGGTAATTTACCCATTTTTGGAGTTCTGTCATTAAGAAAAGTTCTTTAACTTCCAAGGAATGCTGGGAGGGTTTGAAAGCAGTGGGATTTTTGGGTTTCCCTGTGCAGGGCTGGACTCGAGGATCCCCGTGGGGCCCTTCCAGCCGTGGGTATCCCACGATCCCGTGACCACGGAAGGGAATCCTCAGTGGTAAAATCCCAACCCTGGTTTTCCATATGGAAAATTAAAACCAATGAGGGCTCAGGGATGAAATTCCAACCCTGGTTTTCCATATGGAAAATTAAACCAATGATGGCTCAGTGGTGAAATCCCAACCCTGGTTTTCCACATGGAAAATTAAAACCAATGATGGCTTAGTGGTGAAATCCCAACCCTGGTTTTCCATATGGAAAACTGAAACTGCTGGTGGGACACCGGTGAAATCCCAACTTTGGTTTTCCATCTGGAAAACCAGGGTTGGAGTTTCACCACTGAGCCATCATTGGTTTTCATTTTCCATCTGGAAACTGAAACCGCTGGTGGGACACTGGTGAAATCCCAACCCTGGTTTTCCATATGGAAAATTAAAACCAATGATGGCTCAGTGGTGAAATCCCAACCCTGTTTTTCCATATGGAAAATTAAAACCGCTGGTGGCACACTGGTGAAATCCCAACCCTGGTTTTCCATATGGAAAACTGAAACTGCTGGTGGGACATTGGTGAAATTCCAACCCTGGTTTTCCATGTGGAAAATTAAAAGCAATGATGTGATGAAATCCCTCCCCCGCTGTTCCCTGCAGGAACACAAACCCTCCCCAGGGAAGGGAAATGACCGCTGCCCTTTGTTCCCGTGCAGAATTCCAGCCTGCAGGACTCCATCCGGGACGCGGAGCTGCGGGGTGACTCTGCGCTGCGGGAGGGTCGGGAGCAGCTCCGGGAGCTGGAGGAGGCCCTGAGGGAGGCCCGGCAGGAGCTGGCCCGGCTTGTCCGTGACCACCAGGAGCTGCTGGAGGCCAAGGTGGCCCTGGACGTGGAGATCGCCGTGTACAGGTCCCTCCTCGAGGAGGAGGAGCACAGGTGGGATGGGAACACCCAGGAATGGGAACACAGTGGTGGGAACCTGGGATCTGAGCCCGGGATATCCGGGATGGAGCTGCCGGGGAGGAGGCGCCTTCTCTGGGCTTGCTGGGAAACACTAACCTGAGTTCTAATTTCAATTTTATTTTTAATTTCAGTTTCAATTTTAGTTTTAATTATTTTCAATTTTAGTTTCAATTTTTAATTTTAGTTTAATTTCAATTTTAGTTTTGTTTTTTTAATTTTAGTTGTAATTTAATTTTTAGTTTCAATTTTAATTTAAATTTTAGTTTCAATTTTTAATTTTTGTTTTAATTTCAATTTTAGTTTCGATTTTTAATTTTAGTTTTAATTTTTAGTTTCGATTTTTAATTTTAGTTTTAATGTCAACTTTAGTTTCAATTTCTCATTTCAGTTTTAATTTGAATTTTAATTTCAATTTTAATTTCAATTTTAGTGTCAATTTGTAATTGTAGTTTCAATTTAAATTTTAATTTCTACGTCAATTTGAATTTCAGTTTAAATTGAATTGAATTTCAGTGTCAATTTTAGAGTCAATTTTAATTTTAAGGCTTTTTTATCCCAATGTCACTTTTCCTCCACAGGATCCAGGAGGGATCCCCGGCCACAATCTGTGAGTATCCCCAGGATTTCCTTTGCTTTTTTTTTAAGAGAATTGGTCCCATTTCGGGGCTTTAACACCCACAATCAGAACCAAAAATCCCAGTTCCCACCTTGAGTCATTTGGGAAATGACACAAAGGGGAGGTTTTGTGTGACCATGTGTCAAAATATCAACAGATTCAGAATTATTGGCTAATTCCAACCAAATTTGGAGGAACTGGGAATCACCTCACTCACTCTACAGGTCTGTGCAGTGCAGGGCAGAAGGGGAGGAAATTAAAACCAGTCCTAAAATTTGTGGAAATAAAAACCAGTCCTAACATTTGTGGAAATAAAAACCAGTCCTAATATTTGAGAAAATAAAGACTAGTCCTAAAATTTGTGGAAATAAAAACCAGTCCTAAAATTTGTGGAAATACAAGCTAGTCCTAAAATTTGTGGAAATAAAAATAATTTCTAAAATCTGTGGAAATAAAAACTAGTCCTAAAACTTGTGGAAAGAAAGACTAGTCCCAAAATTTGTGGAAGTAAAAGCCAGTCCTAAAATTTGTGGAAATAAAAACTAGTCCTGAAATTTGTGGAAATGGGAGGCAGGTAAAGGGGAGAGAAACTCAGAGTCCTGACCCTCCCTAAAGGAAGGGCCGCACTGAGGGTTCTTGGGGGGGAAAAAGACAGAAATCGGGTTAAAAATAAGTTAAAAACCCCGGAAAAAGGAGGAAACATTCCCTGGGTTGGTTTCTGCTCACAGAGATCCTTCGGGGATAAGCCCAGGACCAGCAGGGTGGGAAGGATGATGCTCAAATCCCAGTTTTGGGGTGAAAAGCACAAGGTGGACGCAATTCCCGTTTCTTGCAGGTGTCATCGACCACCAGGCGGGAATGACCGGAGTCTTTGGAGTGGGACCCGGAGGGATAAAGGGCGGAAAGGGGGGAATGAGCTCCGGAGGGGGTGGAATGAGGGGACCCATCTCCGGAGGGGCAAAAGGGGGAAGTTCTGGAGGGGGGGGATCCATGTCTGGGGGAGGGAAAGGTTCGGGATACGGAGGAGGAGGAAGTTCGGGGGGTGGAGGCTCCATGTCTAAGGGTGGCAGCAGCTCAGGGGGTGGATCCATGTCCAGAGGTGGTGGGTCCATGTCTGGGGGTGGATCCATGTCCGGAGGAGGAAAAGGTTCAGGATATGGAGGAGGAGGAAGCTCAGGTGGCTCCATCTGTGGAGGTGGAAGTTCAGGTGGTGGAGGCTCCATGTCCAAGGGTGGCATCAGCTCAGGAGGGGGTGGATCCATGTCTGGAGGTGGATCCATGTCTGGAGGTGGAAAAGGTTCAGGATATGGAGGAGGAGGAAGTTCTGGTGGCTCCATCTGTGGAGGAGGAAGTTCTGGTGGTGGAGGCTCCATGTCTAAGGGTGGCATCAGCTCAGGAGGTGGAGGATCCATGTCTGGGGGAGGTGGATCCATGTCCGGAGGTGGATCCATGTCTGGAGGAGGAAAAGGCTCAGGATATGGAGGAGGAAGCTGTGGTGGAGGCTCCATGTCTGGAGGAGGAAGCTCTGGTGGTGGAGGCTCCATGTCCAAGGGTGGCATCAGCTCGGGAGGGGGTGGATCCATGTCTGGAGGTGGATCCATGTCTGGTGGTGGATCCATGTCTGGAGGTGGAAAAGGTTCAGGATATGGAGGAGGAGGAAGTTCTGGTGGCTCCATCTGTGGAGGAGGAAGCTCTGGTGGTGGAGGCTCCATGTCTGGAGGTGGTGGCTCCATGTCTGGAGGAGGAAAAGGCTCAGGATATGGAGGAGGAAGCTGTGGTGGAGGATCCATGTCTGGAGGTGGTGGCTCCATGTCTGGGGGAGGAAAAGGCTCAGGATATGGAGGAGGAGGAAGCTCAGGTGGTGGAGGCTCCATGTCTAAGGGTGGCAGCAGCTCGGGAGGGGGTGGATCTATGTCCAGAGGTGGATCCATGTCCGGAGGTGGATCCATGTCTGGAGGAAAAGGCTCAGGATATGGAGGAAGAAGCTGTGGTGGAGGCTCCATGTCTGGAGGAGGAAGCTCTGGCGGTGGAGGCTCCATGTCCAAAGGTGGCAGCAGCTCAGGAGGGGGTGGATCCATGTCTGGGGGTGGTGGATCCATGTCTGGAGGAGGAAAAGGCTCAGGATATGGAGGAGGAGGAAGCTCTGGTGGCTCCATCTGTGGAGGAGGAAGTTCAGGTGGAGGAGGCTCCATGTCCAAGGGTGGCAGCAGCTCAGGTGGCATGTCCGGAGGTGGTGGATCCATGTCTGGGGGAGGAAAAGGCTCAGGATATGGAGGAGGAAGCTGTGGTGGAGGCTCCATGTCTGGAGGAGGAAGTTCAGGTGGAGGAGGCTCCATGTCTAAGGGTGGCATCAGCTCAGGAGGGGGTGGATCCATGTCTGGAGGTGGAGGATCCATGTCTGGGGGTGGATCCATGTCTGGGGGAGGAAAAGGCTCAGGATATGGAGGAGGAAGCTCAAGCGGTGGAGGCTCCATGTCTGGGGGTGGCCAGAGCTCTGGTAGCTGTGGATCCATGTCTGGGGGTGGTGGATCCATGTCTGGGGGTGGATCCATGTCTGGAGGAGGAAAAGGCTCAGGATACGGAGGAGGAGGAAGCTCTGGTGGCTCCATTTGTGGAGGTGGAAGTTCAGGTGGTGGAGGCTCCATGTCTAAGGGTGGCAGCAGCTCAGGAGGGGGTGGATCCATGTCTGGGGGTGGATCCATGTCTGGGGGTGGAAAAGGCTCGGGGTATGGAGGAGGAAGTTCAGGTAGTGGAGGATCCATGTCTGGAGGTGGGTCCATGTCTGGAGGAGGAAGCTCTGGCGGTGGAGGCTCCATGTCCAAGGGTGGCATCAGCTCAGGAGGGGGTGGATCCATGTCTGGGGGTGGGGGATCCATGTCTGGAGGAGGAAAAGGCTCAGGATATGGAGGAGGAAGCTCAAGCGGTGGAGGCTCCATGTCTGGGGGTGGCCAGAGCTCTGGTAGCTGTGGATCCATGTCTGGGGGTGGTGGATCCATGTCTGGGGGTGGAAGAGGTTCAGGGTATGGAAGACAGGGAAGCTCTAGTGGAGGAGGCTCCATGTCCGGGGGTGGGCAGAGCTCTGGCAGTGGCAGGTGCAGCCCCCAGAGTGGTGGGATGAGCTCTGGAGGTGGG